AAAAAATAAAAAATTACGGATGATAGCAAAGAATTTGAAATACGAAATGAATGTGACGGAAAATTTATGGTTCGATTTATCTCTTATTTTAATGGCAACAATTTAACGAGTGGAAAAAAAAAAATAATCACAATGCGACAGCGTTAATCCCTTGATTTATCCAATCTAACGATTTATTAATCGATATATTGGATTTTATTAATCGAATATAAAAATAATGGCCAAAGTACTTCCGGCCATTTAAATATTCATGTTTTAATTAATGTATCGAATCACGATATATCATGTTATACGAGTGAAATATTGAACGAAATGGGCGTGTATGAATATTGGTGAGGATTAAAAGAAAGGATTTTGACGCGTTGTTGAAATTGGTATGTAATGGAATGATAAATGGAAACGTATAGAAATGATACAACGAAGACCTCTAGATATTTATTTATTTATAGCATAACGTTACCATTTTAGTTTAATAGAAATTTCTCTTCTTAAACTATTACTCAGAAACTTTATATGCTTATGCTCAGAAATTTTTATATCATTCCGTACATTTTTAATTATACAAGATACATACATGCATGCGTAACTTTAACTATAGATATGTATGGAATGAGATATCTATAAAACTTTTCTTGTTATTTAATATACATTCTCCAAGATAAATGCATTAATATACGTATTATAAGAATTATATTTTTCGTTTAAATCGAAATTGTCATAAAGCAGAGAAATTAAAACACCGCGAGCGTTTCCTGAAAACGTTTTAATTCACTAAAACCTCTATTTCAAATGCTTTTCTTGGTAAAAGTATTGCGTGTCCCTAGTCCATAATTTCTTCCTTAGGGAAGTGTTATTAACGAAATTACAAACTAGTTCACATGCGTGCCTGGATACAATGGTATGAAAATAAGGTCAGAAGAAAAGCTTTAGTTTTAATTAAAAAAGTGAATTGCCACGTGTCATAAAATTAAAATCACCGCCTTTGTGGAAAAAGATATATCATTGTGACAAAAAGTTGGTTGAAATTTTTCATGAGTGGTCATAAGAAAGAAATACTTAAAGTGTATCTATCCACTATTTAATAGAAAAGCTATGTATGAAAATTAATTGTATAACATTGCACATAAAATTTTGATAGAATTAATATACAAATCAAGGAATCATATTTAATAATGTATCAATTGCAATTTATTATATTCACAATTCATTAAAAGATAATGAAAATAATCTTTCTAATTCCCAAACAAAAATAATTTGTATCGTTTAAAATTTTATGTAGATTATATTGTTTGATTTAATTTGTTCTAACGAAAAAAGAAAAGGAGAAAAAAAAACAGGTTAGAACGAGCTAAATCTTAAGATTTCCACTTTATGCAAATTTTAAAAAAGGAACTAAAAATTGTCAAAAGTTCGTTCGCATTTTAAGCGTCGAAAACGTGTTAATCATTAGCGCGATAAAATAGGCGGATAATCTTGATCTCTTAATTGTGATTTTCTTTTTAATTCCTTTATAGAGTCACTGTAAATTCATTCTCATAATTAAAATACTTTGCGAATATATATTTCCACTGTTATCTTCCAACTCACGTGAATTACAAACCTTATCGGACGATAAATACTGATAGCAAGAAGAGTTAAAGAGTTTAAAAGAGTATTTAATAAACGAGATAAAATATCGTTTAAACTTTTTCTCTAATGTTTATTTGTATAAATATTTATGAAAAATACGAAATACATGTTTTTCGCAATAATAGATTGGAAAAAAAATTGAAATTAGAGAGAGAGAGAGAGAAATTAACAAGCTTTTGCTTTTTTCCATGAAAAATTCTATCTCAAAAAGAAGAAGAAAAGAATTGGTGCACTTTTTTTTTTCATTTCTGTTTCGATAAAGAATAACTTCCCCTATGTATACATATTTTCTGTGCAAGGTAGATATAACACGTGATTAAAGATTGAAAGCCAGGATCAAAGATATCGAGTGAAATACGCGAATTTGACGGCATCCTGAATATACGAAAACAAAGGCTTCTTTCTATTACTCTCCTTCTTTTTCTCTTTCCTTATACCATTCGACACCTACTTTTCACGAGAGCCTAAGAAAATTGAAATCAATATTACAGAATGCTCGTACGACTTTCGAAAATGTGTAAAATTTCAAAGAAATTGCGCGAGAAAGGAAATAAATCAGTTGTGTGTCGCTTTATTTAATTATTTATTTAATTTACAATATTATTAGTTAAAATCATTTATTTGGGTAGAATTTATATCCTGATAATTTATCAATTTGTTAATAAAATTTATTAACAAAAAGATTTTGTGACCATATATTATTATTATTAACGATCGAACATGAATTTACTATGGATAATATTCCATAACCATATAACGGTTACGTGGCATGTATTGTATGCCTGTTATCGATATAATATAATAATCATGTGGATATAATGTAATATATATATATCATCGATCTAATTATAAAACATCATGAAAAATTTTAAGCATAGCAACGAATAAAAAAATAACAAACAAAAAGACAAATAATTGTTTCGAATAAAATAGCAAATAAATTTATTTAAAGATAAAATTATTTTCGAAATAAATCTTATTCGCGAAATAAATTATATGAACGAAAGTTTATTTCGATAAAGTCTAACCCAATTCTCTATCGAACTCTATTCTGTTTATTGTTCCGTGTAATGCGTATTCGTATTCGAGGAAGATACTAAAAATATTTACAATGTCTTCGTGAGAAATTTAGGAATTCAGAGAAAAAAAATACGATAAAAGTAATATTTTTGTTTAAAGAGTTCATTAATATTCCACCGCTACTCGGTTAATATCATCGATTTAAATATCGCGGCAAAAATGTCTTCGACTTTATTGACTTTCAAGATGTTATATCCTCGTATATAGAATTGGACAATACTCGAGGGCGGACTTGAATCGAACTTGGACAATGAGATAGTTCGCATACAATAGTATCACGTTACCGCGAAAATCGAATTTCTCTCTTGTAGACTTATACTGTTCATCGTACCCCACGACTTCATCATCTTATTTCTAGACAATTAGAGCGAAATCTTCTTCTAAATCTCTTTGTTCCACGAAATAAATAGAAAAAAATATTGCTTTTCGATATATTCACTTTTATGCACTATTAAACAATGAGAGAAAGTTTTTTTTTTAAAAATTATTAAATTTATGATTTCAATAATAAAATTCTTAGAATATAAATCGATATAGATACGACAAATAATAACAACGATTCGATTGAATTTGAAAATTTTTCGAAAAGAATTTTTAATTTTGATATTAATAAAAAGGTAATGATATAAGAATTAAAATACATTGAAATTTTAATTCTTTGGAAAATACGTATTTTATTCGTATTGATAAAGCATTAGCTGCTTACGAGGTAATTACAAACTTTATATAATATCTGTACATGTAGTTACATGTAATAAATTAAATGTTACGTATTACGAAGAGTAGAGTAACAACTTTATTCGAGCTCAGCAATTTTGAGTATTAATTGCAAAAATATAACGTACAGGTTTAATGGAAATGGTATATGAATAAATTGTTCGTATATTATGTAATTCTGAGCGAATATAAATAAAAAATTTATCGTTAATAATGAATAGAAATTGTTAATTTAATTGCTTCTTTTCATCACTTCATTTACGAAATAATAGTGGCATAATAGTGACTTTTGATATTGACTACAGAAATATCGATAAAATTAAAAGTTGATTTGGATATATTATATCTCGAATCGAAAAATTTATACTAATTTTAAATAAAACGTAGAAATTTTCAAGCGTTCTACGATAGATCAACGATAAAAGAAATTTTTATATTAAGAAATTCGTCGCAATTCGAACAAATAAAAATAGAAAAAAGTAACTCAAGGGATAATCAATTCCCTTTACACCTACAGCGAAGCAATAAAAACTTTAATTCCACTCTAAATTAGCTTCATTTGCATATCTGATCTTAATTAAAATACAAAAAATACGATAAAATTAAACGTTGTGAGAAAAAATATTATAAGGAGAAACAATAAACATTCCTATTTTAAATATATATATTTCGTTATTTATATGTGAAAAATCTTAAAAATATTATACAATCTCCAAGAAACAAAATATATCTTTATCAAATTTGTTTGCTTTCAAGCGCAATAAAAATTAACGATTTATGAAGAAATGTTTTCGATTTCTTCTATCGTTATTTACAACATATAAAGTTCAAAAAAATAGAGATATTTAAGAGCATCGCCAATAAAATCGAAAACAAACTTGTAGATTGATAAAAGAAAGGAACAGGAGAAGGATCCTTTCGGACAAACGATCAAAGATTGAAAAAAGAAAAAAAAGACATAGGTAGTAAGGAACGAGTTTACAACGACATATACCCACCTGATATCGTTCCAATCTCGAGGTCCACGTCGCCGAGATTTGGTCCCTATTTTCCAAAGACTTTTCACGCAACGCAAGAACAGCCAGCTAAGATCGGTTGTTCGGCAAAGGTCCTAGCATTTGCTTGGACGATGATTCACCCTCTATTATCACGGGTTTGGGGGCGAAAACGAGCGCATTCATTCCGTTGCTTCTCGTTATTCCATCGCTCGAGGTGAGATTCCACCACCCCTTTCCCCCCCCAGAAAACAATCCGGCGGCAATTACCGGCAATTATTCGTGTACCGAGAAGCCCAACCTCTCGGTGTATCCGTCGAATTAACGCGAGGCAGGCCGCGCGTTGCGTGAACGTCGAAAAGTCACTTGGATTGTGGGGGCCGTGCAATGGGGATGAGATATAATCGGGGAGGTTAGGTTGAAGTAAACCAAGAAGAAGATCCTTTCTTTTATTTTCTATTCGGAGACAATGTGTGCAAAAAAACATAAACGAACACACCAATGATCACGTGAACAACACTCTTTTTTTTTTCTTTTTCTTTCTTTTTCTTTTTTTCTTTTTGCTTTGTTTCTACTCACTCTAGGGCCAAGAACACTTAACGACTCCTGCTCGAGGATTCGCTCTCGACTTTCGCGATCTCTGTTGTTGTTTATAGTTCGATCGGATCATATGTGTCTCGCGGAACGCGAACTATAGTGGAGCAGTGGGCACGATCACGCGCGAAACATCGAGGAGAGTAACACGGAGGGATACGCATGGAATGGAGAAACTGAGCGAGAGCCAATAATGTGAGAGGAAGAGAGAGGAAGAGAGAGAGACAGAGAAAGAAAGGCAGAGAAAAAGGGAAGAAAAAGAGAGAAGAGAAAGAAAGACAGAGAGAGAGAGAAAGAGAAGAAAGGAGAAGAATAGAGAACAAGGTATAGAAAGAGAGGAGCGAATATAGAGGAGGTGGAGATAGAACGCGAGAAGGATAGATAGAGAGAAAGAGAGAAGAAAAGGAGTATACGAGAGGAGGCCGGTCAAAGTATATACGACCGACAAGGAGGGAAAACGATGTTCTCGGTGCAGACGCACTCGCGGTCTGGTATATATGTAAACGCACAGAAAATCGACGTGCACGCGACGGCGGTCGCGACGATACTGCGCCCTATCGGGCGGCCCTGCGCAAATATAATACCACCCCTCTCTCCTACAGTCCGGCCACACTATTCTCCTCACCGCCACTGCCACCACCAAACCAAACTCAACCCTCTACCGACGATCGGTTTCTCTTCCTACCCTTTTATCTGCCATCCTCCTTCACCCCCTTCACTCCACAAACCCTCTACTCATCTCACCCTACCCGCCTCGATTTTCCATCCCTCCCTCTCCCTCCCCCTCGCCTTCACCATCCTCTTCTCTTCCACCCGCTTCTTCTTTTTTTTTCCTCTCTACCCTTTTTTCCCCCTCTCTCCTCTCTCCTTCTTCCCCCCTTCTCTCTCTCTCTCTCTCTCTCTCTCTCTCTTCTATTTCCACGGCGCTGGCGACCCTTGCCACGCTACCGCAGGGGTAACCTGCTACAGGGATACCCTCTTTTCTAGAGCAGGAGGGGAGGGAGAGCTTTGCTGTGAGCTTCCGGTGCACACCGATGGCTATTTCCGTTCACGCTCCAAGGACTCAAGACGACGCAGAGAGAGAGAGAGAGAGAGAGAGAGGAGGAGGAGGAGGAGGAGGACCGGTTGGCCAATCGTGATGGGCTAGCTACCTTGTTTCTCTATCGTACGAGGTAATCGTACGTATCGTTCTCGATCGTGTATACCGATTATGTCCAACGACCGATAAGATTCCTTCTTTCCCTGGACTCGCTATTTCCAGCCTCCCTTTGTGCCGCGATTCCGATGGACGCGACCGCTCATCCTGATTTATTCGATATATTCACACCGATACGCACCGTAAGCCGTAACCTAAGCGTGACAACGATCGACACGGCTCGTTACAAGCGATTACAAGCGAACCGGTGCGTCAGTCTTTTATAATTACCTTTATTTTTGCCCAGCCTCCTAGATTTTCGAAGTTTATTTGCGCGAATCAAATGCGCAAACGTTCATTATAAATATATATATATCATATCCGATAATGCGTTCTTTTTCCTTTTTTTCTTTTTTTTTTTTTTCGCTTAGCACTTTTGTCCAGTCTTGCGTGTTACGCGTTCTCGTTGTGAATCGTAGAAGGTATCGTGCAAGAAATATACTGTCGTTTTTTTTTTTTTTTTAGTAATTTGTGTATAAGAAAATAAGGTTTTTTAAAGGAAAATTTCGTGTTAATTTTGTTAATTCGGAGGAGAACGAAGTGAATTGTTTCATCCAGTATTTGTGTCTTTAGAGTGAATAATTTTGGTAATACATTATTGGTATTTATTAGAATTTCTATAATAAAATTATAGAAATGGCATGTTAATTAATAATTGATATAATTTCAAGAAAATAGTAAGATAACAATAGTAGATAACAAAAAAAAGTAACATTTCTTTTTTTTCAGTTTTTTTCTAAAAAAGATGGAGTAAAATTATTATGAATTAGATTAATATGACTTTTCTTTTCATATGATTAATCATGCAAAATTTATACTGTTTAATACAATGGTATCGGTAAATATTTTTATTTTATTTTCCCATTAACTATTATATCGTTTTATATAAACGTTGTAGTTAAATAGAAATTCAGAAAGATGATATTCTATTCGAGATGGTGTGAAGTTAAAGTAAATGTTTCGAAGCTACTTATAGAAATATTTTGATATTGTTACAATAGTTTATAGAATTACGTATTAAATCTGACATTTTGCACCTATATATTAATCTTGCAATAATGTTAAATATGTTTAAAATGATAACTTTGAAAATATATACAGAAATAAAAAGAAATAAAAAGAAGTTGATTTGTTAAAATTATTTTATTCGAATAATTTTAATAAATAATAATTTTATAATTTCTTTGTTCGTTAAAAAATAAATTTTACTTGATTAAATGTGCAGATGAATATTTATAACATTTTCAAATATATTAATATTGTTAAAAAAATTTACAAGAAAATTATTATTATTGATATGTTATTATATTAGAGATAAAATATTTTTCTCTTTGCATATTTGAATTAAATGAACTTTCAAAACAAATGTCATAGATATCGTAGCGGAAATAGATCGAACCATTTCATAAATAGTTAACGGTTCAAATCCACAGGAAGCTCTGAGGAAAGCGCATTCGTTAGCGGTTAAAATGTAATGATTTCGTTAGTGATATTAGATGTAGTTGTAAATTGGATGAAATATTAAGCAATTTTGCGTGATAAATTTATACAAATTAATTTTTAAACTTTTAAATTAATTTTTATCAATAAAATTCTTTGAAGGAAGATAAAGATATAAATAACATCAAATTTCGTTATATAAATAACGAAATAAATGTTATAAATAACATGAAATTTTGTTAATATACACATTGATAAATACAATAATTTTTAGAGAAATATAATTACCATAAAGATTTTAGATTTATTTATTAAATATATAATTAACAATGAAAATATTAATACAAATTTGAGACAGATTTGATCTAGGCATTAGATATATTAACTGTACATTAAATTCATATGTGTAAATGTAATAACTTTTAAATAAGTTATTAGTTTCTCAACCTTGAAAGTTCTATAATTTTATATTATAACGAGAATTTATAATATGTCTGAAGTTAAAATTCATATTACGTTATGAAAATTTAATTCATTTTCAATTCAATTTCAAATAAGATGAAATAAAATTTATCTATAGAATTTTTATCATTTATACCAGCAAAATTATTATTATTATTTATACTAGCAATTTAACAAAATTAATATTTCAATGAATGTTATTATCTACAATTAGATTTTATGTAGTCAGATAAGTGGATAATAAGATAATTAAAGAAATTTTACGTGTGTATCATTTTTCGAGAATATTTATTGAATGCTCACATGGTTTACGATTTAAAATTACCACTTTGATAATATCTTCGCTTTATACACGGTCTGATGTTCATTTTCATCCCATTTGGTTCAAAATATACGATGTGCGCCAATAGTAGAATTTTATTCAATAGTAACACGTAAAATATTTTAGCATGAAATGATAATCCATCCAATTAGAATGATAATAACGTTGTAGTGAAACGAGATTGATGCACGTTTGCAGCCAATTTACAGTTAATGCATTTGTGTAATATAATCAATTTGTAAATTTCATTGTGCCTATATAATAGAGATTCTCAACGATATAGTAATACGTTACTAAGTAGTAAACGCACAAAATTACACGGACATTGAAACGGACTTTACAATTAAAATCTATTTATACATATATATACACATGTGTTAATTCTTTTATTACTAACGTTTCAACTGCTAAGAAATTATTTAAAATTATTAACAAATTTTTATCAACAAAATTCTCACAGAATTCCATCTTAATGGAATATTCAATAGGAAAAATGATTTTGGATAGGAAAATTCAATAGGAAAATTGATTCGAAGAAATAAATAAAGATAAAATTCTGATGGAATTTTATATTCTCTATCTGCTTACTTATTCTAATTTTCACATTCGTTCCTTTCATTCATTTTCCATTCATTTATAACTAATTGTAAGGTTGATTAATTTTGAACCGCAGTAATTTCGCCCCGCGCGTTTGATTTTCATCTCGATCGAATATTCGCGTGCAGCGTTAAAACACGATCGATGTTTTTTAAATGTAAAAAAAAAAAAAAAAAAAAAAATACGAATAAAGGAATGAACATTGATTGCACAATATATAGAGAAATTATTGCAAATGTAAAAGCGTGGACAAGAGGACGCGAATGAATAGAAACGGGTGCGCTCTCTGTGAATTTTGTGAAGCAATCGAGAAGAGATGTTCGAGATTTTTACTTTCTTCTGAATTGTATTTTGTATAATTGCTATTGTGATTAGCCCAGATAAATATCTTTTGTATCTCGCTTGATAATGCGTATATTTTATAAATGTGGAAAAATTTTTATCGTGTTTTTACCCTAATTTTATTAAAAATGTGGGACAAAAGAGAATGAGAATATAAAAGAGAATCGTAAATGAAGATCCCAGTGGGCAAATAGTACAAGTGACGAAATTTTTTATTCTGAGAAAACTGTACGTAAAATTAAACTTTCGTACAGAAAAATCTGTACATCTTCACACGTTGAAATATATATTTCAAAAAGATAGATTATTAATGTGTGGGATTTTGGGATTAACAGGCGACACTGTCCCAGTGTTATTAGAGAATTCAATTAGGTTGAATCCTCCATTTATAATTCATAAGTTCAGATTGAATTTTCTTAAGGGTCTCAGCATCCTAGCAAAGAATTATTTATTTTTATATTTTCATCAGAATAATATAAAGAAAATAGCAAATGAACATTTTAAAAAATCTGAGATCGTTTTAAGGCAATTATAAAAAATATAATTCAGAAATTATTTATTTGAAAATCAATAAAAATATTACATAGCTAATTATATCTACATACATCTGTGTATAAAGGAAATCTTTGCGTTTCTTTTGTTCTTTGATTTGCTTTGAGAATACTCGATGAAGAGAGAAGAAAAATATATTACAAACAACAACATAAGATAGTTTATTAAATAGATGCAAACGTGCTCTATTAATATGTAACGCTTAAAATATTTCCCTCTGAAAACACGCATGCAATTTATATTTTCAAATATTTAAATTTTATACGTTATTAATTTGCAAATAATTCTGTTCAACATGATGATTTACAGAGATAACTATGTACAATTATTTTGCTTGCTTGATGTACGGTCGAGTATGAATAGTACGTGTCTCTCTCTCTCTTTCTCTCTTTCTCTCTCTCTCTCTCTCTCTCTCTCTCTCTCTTTCTCTCTTCATCGTACAAAAGAAAATGGAGATGCGTGTTAAATTAACCCGAATAATTTCATTTCTTGTCATTTATACGTGATATGTGTCCTGTCGAACGTTTAAACAGAGAGAGCAACGTGACCAAATCCGTGATAAATGTCATTTTGGTACGTTTGTATTTCCGATATGAGCGTAGGTTAGTATCCGGCCAATCGATAAACCGTATATATGAAAGTGATGCTCGCAAAAAGAAAAAAAAAAAGAGAGCCGCGTATCTGTGCACTT